TTTAGTATTCGGTTTTAATACTACTCCAAATGGACCAATTTTGATTGGTTTTTACAGTTTAGTAAATCAAAATCGGCCGATTTCAGGTCGAACCGACCCGGTCAACTCTCATTTTGGTTAATTTTGCTAGTTTTGCCTGTTTTAATTTACCATGTGAAGAAAGATTTCGTTAGTTTTCAGTTTTATAGACAAAATAGAATGGTTTTATGTGACATGTTCCCAAATCCTGCCCCACCCCCTTTTTTCTGTTATTAGATTTGATATCCTTCTAGACTTTATGTTAAATGCATTTTTTTAATGATTATTTTTTGAGCGGATTCTTTTTTCTTTGACAATCATACAGTTCATCCGATAAGTTCTGAGCTTCGAAAGCCATCGAACATGATCACTGCCGTTCGGATCGCCCTCCTTCTCTGCGCCGTGATCTATTTCCTGATCGGAATTTTTGGGTATCTCCTGTTTGGGGACTTGTTAATGTCTGATATTCTGATGAACTTTGATCAGAGTGTTGATGCAACAGGGGCTATGTTGAATGATGTGGTTCGATTAAGCTATGCAATTCATCTGATGCTGGTTTTCCCTGTGCAAAACTTCCCACTGAGGTCCAACATCAATGAATTTCTGTTCCCAAATAAGGAGGCTTCTTTGGTCACAGATGAAAGAAGGTTTATGGGCATTACAATGGCTTTGTTGGTTTTCTCCTATCTGGCTGCAATAACATTCCCAAATATATGGTACATTTTTCAATTCATGGGCTCAACTTCAGCTGCTTGTCTCGCCTTCATCTTTCCTGGCGCTATTGCACTCAGGTACTAAAACATTTTAAAAGATCAAGTTTTTAGGTCCAAAAATCATGTTTGTAAAAAGTATTAGATGATTTCGATCTTTAGAAACTATCCAAGCAATACTTCATCATTATGTTTTCATGTTCTTTTCATAAATATAGAGTAGGATTATAATTTGTTTTTAACTAAATTTGTTTGGCCATGCAGGGATGTGAATGGAATAGCAACAAGGAAGGATAAGGTAGTTGCTTCCATAATGGTAATTCTGGCGATAGTGACTAGCATTATTGCCATTTTTATAAACATAAATAATGCATTGAAAAACTAAAGTATTATAGATTGTTTGGAATGGAAGCTCAAATTATTTATTTTTGGAGATGGTGATCAGTTGTATAGTTTTTTAATATTTTTTCCCCTTTTTTTCGTTCGTATAATAAATCGAACATATGTGTTTTTGTTTTTATAATATAATCCAACATAAATACTTGAGGATTCATTCCACGAGTTTAATGTTTGAATCATTATTAGAGATGTCCAATTACTTGTGGGGTTAGAGTTTTATGGGGACATTCTTCTAACAGGGTGAAGAATTTCCATTTAAATGAAAAATGGTAGGAAGTGAAAAGAGATTTTTCCATAACTGAATCTAAAATAAAATTATATTCTTTGTCCCTATTTTATCCTACTCATTTTATATATAACAAGTGTGAGTCTATATTGTAATATATAAGTTTAATTTTTTAGAAATTACATTAGAATTATATTATATTTTTGTTTATAAAATATTATCGAAATATTAAAAATAGAACGTTACCATTATGATATGTAGTAATAGGAGTGTTGGTATGATGTGCACAAGGCAGGGCTTGACATACACACACTCACAGCATGTAAGATGTCACAACCATACTATATAGAGAATAAGTTAAGAACCTCATGTAGCGATAAGCAAAATGACAACTCTTAAGTGACGCCCATCTAAAGAGATGAGTGTCATGATGTGACTAAGGAGGACAGTATAGTATACTACACACAATATAAAGTGGGTTGGGTAGGACCTTGGGTCTTAACCTCGAATGTTGGGGCTCCTAAGGGAATTTGGGCATGCAACTCAAAAGTTAAATCCGTTCATATCAAATATGAAAGCTTGCCAAATTTGGTGTCAATCAAGCGCTCCACAATATAATATGACTTTGCTAAAATCATGACTATTTGCTAAAATCATGTTCGTGATACCGTATATGATTGTTTGCATCAAAATGTATCATAAGGAAAGCATGATATCACCTTTCCACCGCCCCTAGGCTTTGTGGTCTAAGCGAGTTACCCTATGACACACGCATATGTCAAAGTGAGGGCGAGTGTTGCAATACGAGTGTCTTAGGCGACTTCTTTTGAAATGAGTACAAAGACAATGTCAGGCGACGTGTGTAGCCATTGTGCCCCTCATCCATGTATTGGAGGTTGGATTATGCACCCGTCTTTTGATACAAAGGCTATAATTAATATAACGTAGACATGTATTGGAGCTAGATGACTAAGGTTTGACGAAGCCATAAAGAAGCAAAAAACCTTAAAACTTTTCGTGAACAAGTCAAGATCACAACATTGCAAGGTTGAAAAAGTAGGATCGTATAACACAGGGTACACACGTGAAAAATATAGCATGAACTAAGTTGGATATACTAACATTACCATAAAAAAAAATGACAAGATTATCAACCACTCGAATTGCACCTTTCTAATTAGTCATCAACATTAAACAAGGTAGATGCATTCAAATAATTTATAATGCATGTAATGAACCCATTAAAACAAGTCGAATATTCAAATAAATATATGTATTAGTAGGTTATACAAGGTACGATAATACCCCCAAGAAAAATCACCAAAAAAAAAGAAAAAAATAAAAAAGATTAAGCAACCATTATTTGATACCTTATTATATCTGGACATATTCATTATATCAAGGTAATCTAATATTTCACAACAATAATAATTATGAGGCAAGCAATATTTTGGAATAACCAATACTACAAACAAAATTATTTAGGATTTCATCAAGGCAACTACTATGCCTTGGATTCCAACAAGGTAACCATTATACTTGAGAAATGATTGTAACAAAGCAACCATTATACTTGAGAAATGATTGTAACCACGGCATCCAATATTTGAAATTAACCCCATTTTGAAACAACCATATTTCAAAATAGCATATTAATAGCATATTTGGCAACATCCCAAAAACCAATATTTCAATTCACCATTATTTCTATAATCAACCTCCCGCAACAAATATCATTTCAATACATCCATATAACAACAAATGACACCTATCATATCTAGATAATTACTGTTACAAGACAACCAAAGTTTGAATAAGCAACCAATTTTTTTGCAACAACCATTATCTTTTCAAGATAGCCATATTTCAAAATAGCACACATATCGAACAACCATTATTTTGGATACTATCAACGCAACCATGACATCTTAGGAAATGATTGTAACAATCATTGGAAGATATAGCTATTTCATTAAAGCACAAAAAGACATCCATTATATCGAGATAATAATTGTATCTTATTTTGAATTCTATCAAAGCAATCAATATATTTCAACAATTATTGTAACAAAGGAACAGATACTTCACGTATCAAGGCAACCATTATACCTAGACAATTGTTGTATCAAGACAACTAATATTTCGCAACCATTGTCATTATGAGGCACAATCAATATTTCAGGTAGCCAATATTTTGAATCTTATTAAAGCATCTATTGTGCCTGGACAAAAGGCAACCAATATTTCACAACAATTATAATTTCGAGACAACCATATTTCAAAACAACATATCAAGGCAACTGTCATGTCTGGACAATTATTGTACCAAGACAACCAATATTTCAAACCACCGTTGTTTTTAGGTCCCATCAAGGCAACCTATGTCCAAACAATCATTGTAACAAGGCAACCGATCATTCGCACCGATAATCATTTCAAGATAGCAACCAATATCATTTCGAGATCAAAGCTATAACAAGATAACCTAAATTTCGCAACAATTATCATTTCAAGACACCTAGTATATCAAAGCAACCATTATTATACCAAAACAATTGATATTCCGTAGAAATTATCATTCCCAGATAACCAATATTTTAAATTATAGAAATATATATAGCTATATCTCAAAATAGCATACCAAAGCAACTGATATTTAGCAACCATTATCATTTATAGACTACTAAATTTAAAAAGCTAATCAAGACAACAAAAAATCATGTTTGGACAAAGATAACTAAATTTCGAGCCAAGAATAGTACCTAGAGAGATGTTAAGTCATAAATAATACCAATATCATATTTTATGACCAAAAGAAGTTAAAATATTTATGATCACTACTGGATTTAAAAGAAAAACAGCCGCGGGTTGTTTTTTAAAATTACTATTTAAAGTAAAATGAAGAGGTTCAAAGATAATGTAAAATAAAGGAGAAAAAAGAAGAAACAAAACATAAATTGTTTTTAAAAACCCGCTCGAAAAAATCTCAAGAATTAATGAAGCATCAAAATAAATATAAACATATTCAATAATCAAGAACTTACATGACAAACACAATCAAATTCATCACATTAAATCTCCCCTCTACTTAAGCAAATTGATCCGATACATTATGCTCCTCCAATACNTAGAAAGTACAAAAGGCATAATACCAAAAAAAAAAAAAAAAAAAAAAAAAAAAAAAAAAAAAAAAAAAACAGACAGATTTTCCAAGGAGTCTGGAACAAATTTAAGTTTTAGCCATGCATCCAAAGAGTTTAGATAGTGGTAGCCACAATGTGTCAGCACATTCAATATTTTCTAACAAGAGATCATATGACAACACCAATGAAATTCGAAGATTGATATAAAACTTTTGACGTTAAAATAGCTTAAGTAGACAGGAAAATAAGGAGACAATTGGTATTATTTGACAGTTTAAGAAAAATTTAGTGGTTTAAGATGGTTTTTAAGTTACTGAGATATGTAAAGCTATTACAAATGTACAAACATCAAATGAAACCGTGATCAAATTTCGCGACAAAAGAAAAGATAAGACAAGGAAATAAGAACAAAATTAGGTTTTCAGAAAAGAGATCTAATAGCATACTCCATGTGACAGTACACTACTCATTCAATGTCTAATGAAGTGCATCTAGAATTAAAGAAGACTTGGAACTCAAAAAACTCTATAAACTTAAGTAAAATAGTAACAATGATCATTAAGAAACTTCTAACCGCATTGTATATCTATGAACCAAATCCGAATAGTTGAAATTGAGGTTGCATAGGAGACACCTGAGAATAAGATAAAACCATACCAGTTGCCACATTCCTTCCATTCATGAAAATTCTCCAAAAACATCCCGGTTCTTTGGCATTTAAACCATGATTGGACCCAAGAGTAGAAGGACGGCTTGACAGTAACTAAAAAGTGGACTCACGACCTAGACTCCAAATTGTTTGAACTTGATGGGTTCTGAAAAATTCATATGAAAACCATGATGATTTTGCAAATATCGAGGGTAGAACATAATCGATTCATGATGAATTTGTAAGGATGCCCAATCGACTTTAAAGAATCAAACCTAAACTTTAACCTACTTATCTACGAAGGTTGAAGGCCAATTGATATGTTCGATATGTTGAGACAATTATCTTACTGAACTAAATCATGATGAAACAACTATCATATATGTCTAGACAATTATTATAACATGCCATAATTATCATTCAAATGCAACAAATCAATGATTAAGTCTACTTAAAAATGAAAATAATTGAAACCATTAGACCATAAGGAACAATTATATCTGGACAAAAATATTATAATGGAAACAACAGATATTTCAAGACAACTATTAAACTAAAGCAACCATGATGTAATTACAATTGAGGCAACATATATTTCAGTACAAATATAGATCAAAGCAATCATGATGAAACAACTATCATATATGTCTAGACAATTATTATAACATGCCATAATTATCATTCAAATGCAACAAATCAATGATTAAGTCTACTTAAAAATGAAAATAATTGAAACCATTAGACCATAAGGAACAATTATATCTGGACAAAAATATTATAATGGAAACAACAGATATTTCAAGACAACTATTAAACTAAAGCAACCATGATGTAATTACAATTGAGGCAACATATATTTCAGTACAAATATAGATCAAAGCAATCATCGCGTCCAAACATTTAATGAATAAATTATACCAAGGAATCTGATATTTCACAACAAATATCATTATGAGGCAACCAGGATGGGAATTTTGCAACAACAATCATTTCGAAACAATCAAAATACCAATATTTTAAGAACCATTCTGTTAAAACAATTATGGTAACAAAAGTCAATCAAATATTTCGGAACAATTATCATTTCAAGACAACCATATTTTGAAACAACATATCAAAGTAACCATCTTATCTAAACAATTATTGTAACAAGACAACTAATATTTCGAGCAACCAAAATTTTGGATTCCATCAAGACCCAACCGTCATGTTTGGTCAATTATTGTACCAAGACAACCAATATTTCGAGCAACCATTATTTTTTATTCTATCATGAAAACCAACCATCATGTCTGGACAATTATCATTTAGAGACACCATATTTCGAAACAACATATCAAAGCAACCATCATGTCTGGACAATTATTGTACCAAGACAACTAATATTTCGAGTACCAATATTTTGGATCCCATCGAGGCAACCAACCATCATATGTCCAGACAATTATTGTACTAAGACAACCAATATTTTGGATTCCATTGGGGCAACCAACCATCATGTCTGGACAATTATTATACCAAGACAACAAATATTAAGAGCAACCAATATTTTGGATTCCATCGGGGCAACTAACCGTCATGTCTGGACAATTATTGTACCAAGATAACCTATATTACGAGCAACCACTATTTGTCTGGACAATTATTGTACCAAGACAACCAATATTTTGGATTCCATCGGGGCAACCAACCGTCATGTCTGGACAATTATTGTACCAAGACAACCAATATTTTGGATTCCATCGGGGCAACCAACCGTCATGTCTGGACAATTATTGTACCAAGACAACCAATATTTTGGATTCCATCGGGGCAACCAACCGTCATGTCTGGACAATTATTGTACCAAGACAACCAATATTTTGGATTCCATTGGGGCAACCAACCGTCATGTCTGGACAATTATTGTACCAAGACAACCAATATTTTGGATTCCATCAGGGCAACCAATCATCATCCAACCGTCATGTCTGGACAATTATTATACCAAGACAACCAATATTTTGGATTCCATCGGGGCAGCCAACCATCATGTCTGGACAATTATTGTACCAAGACAACAAATATTTCGAGCAACCATTAATTTTGATTTCATCGAGGCAACCAACCATTATGTCTGGACAATTATCATTTCGAAACAGCCATATATTAATTTTGATTTCATCGAGGCAACCAACCATTATGTCTGGACAATTATCATTTCGAAACAGCCATATATTGAAAAACGTATCAAACCAACCAACCATCGTGTCTGGACAATTATTGTACCAACATTATTTTCGATTCTATCATAGCAACCAACCATCATGTTTGGACGATTAACATTTCGAGACAACCATATTTCAAAACAACATATCAAAGAAACCATCATGTCTGGACAATTATGTCTCGACCCACATCAAAGAAACGACCAATATTTTGAGCAAACATTATTTATCATGGCAACCAACCATCATGTTTAGACGATTAACATTTCGAGACAGCCATATTTCGAAACATATCAAAGAAACCATCATGTCTAGACAATTATTATACCAAGACAACCATTATTTCGAGAAACTATTAATTTTGATTCTATCGAGACAACCAACCATTATGTTGGGACAATTATCATTTCAAAACAGCCATATTTAGAAAAACATATCAAAGCAACCAACCATGACAATTATTGTACCAAGACAACCAATATTCTGAGCAAACATTATTTTGTTTTTTATCATGACAACCAACCATCACGTTTGGATTAACATTTCCATATTTTGAAACAACATATCAAAGAAACCATCATGTCTAGACAATTATTGTAACAAGACAACTAATATTTAGAGCAACCATTATTTTGAACTCCATCAAGGCAACCAACCATTATGCTAAGACAATTATTGTACCAAGACAGCCAATATTTATGGCAACCATTAATTTCGATTCTATCATGACAACCAATAAGTCTGAACAATTATTATAACAAGACAACTAATTTTTTCGCAACAATTATCATTAAAAGATAACCATATTTCAAAATAGCATACTATTTTAGATTCTATCATAACAACCATGATATAATAAATCATCATTTCCAGATAGCTATATTTCTAATTTCTAAATAGCATATCAAAACAACCATATATATCATACAAGGCCCCTAATCAATTAACATTTCAAGAAATATCTTAAAATAGCCATACAACCATTATATTTGGATAATTATTGTACCAAACAACCATTATCACTATTTAGAGCAACTACAACCATTCAATTATTTTAACAAGTTAGTAGCTATATTTCATAACAATTATCATTTCCAAACAACTAGCATACAAAAGCAACCATTATATCTACACAATTATTGTAACAGCAACAATTATCATTTTTGTTATAACCAATATTTCAAGCTGACTATTATCTTGGATTTTATAAGGCACCCACTGCAACCATTATTTCGAGACAGCCGTTGTTTTGGATTCCATGAAGACAAAACAATCATGTTTGGACAAAGAAAACCGAATTTTAATCCAACAATCAGAGGTCATAAATAATAACAAGATCATAAAGGTAAAATATTTACGATACTGAGTACAATAGATCAGTATCAAATTAAAAAAAAACAGCAGTTGGTTGTTTTTAAAATTACTGTTTGTATATATACTAATTCCACTGTTTTTATATACATCCTACATAAATAAATGAATAAAAATAAAAATATATTATTAAAAGCCTTAATATTTAAAGTAAAATGAAGGGATTAAAAAATAATGAAAAATAAAGGAAAAAGAAGAAACAAATTAAGAAAATAAAATCATAAACGTGTTTTTCCACAGAGCATTGTTCTCCAAACATGAAATGTTTTTAAAGTAAAAGGGATTAAAAAATAATGAAAAATAAAGGAAAAAGAAGAAGAAACAAATTAAGAAAATAAAATCATAAACATGTATTTCACCAGAGCATTGTTCTCCAAAGATAAAATTGTTTTTAAAAACCAGCTTGATAAGTATAAACGTATTCAATCAATCAAGAAATTACATGACAAACACGAAAAACCAAAAGGGATCTCTAAGCCAGCACATCTGTGGCATTTGATCGGAGATGCACCGCATTAAATCACTCCTCTTCTCCTCTTAAGAAAACTGATCCAATACAGGATACTCTAATAGTTAGCTAGAGAATCAATCAAATCTTCTCCAAATGGAAAAACCAACTTCTAATAAGTAACAGACCAATACGACTCCAAGTGAGAAACACCAAAACAAATAGAGAATATCAAATGCATTAACCGAAAACTGGTATAACACCATACAGCACAAAGGGGTATAAGAGGATAATCATAACTGGGAATAAGAGAAAATCATACTAATTTACCACATTCCTTCCATTCATGATAGTGCGCCAAAAGCATCCCGCTTCCTTGGCATTCGAACCACGATTGGACTCGAGTAGAAGGACGGCTTGACCGTTACTAAAAGTGGGCTTGCGACCTAGACTCCAAACTGTTTGAAATTGATGGATTCTGAAAACCTCATATCAAAACCGAATCGCGAGAAGAGGAAAAAACCAAGGCCTAATCGACTTTAGAAAAACCTGGACGATTTTGTAAGGAGATGATTGAAAAATCAGAACGGAATCCAACTCTGAAGAACAGGATGGCTTTGCTAAAAGAGAAGAAAGAAAAACCAAAACGTAATCAAAACCAAAACGTAATCATCTTTCCGAAGACGACTTTTCAAAGAGAAAAGAGGGAAATCGAAGTCAAAGAGTGGTGATTCGGGAGTACGAAGAACTCGACTCCCGATTGTTTCAATTCTACGCATCTTAACAAAATCAAACCTAAACTTGGAAAAACTAAAACCCTAATCTATTTCAGAAAAATCTGGATGTTGTTGCAAAGAGAAAAGTGGAAAAAGGCACAAATCTCAGCAATTTCATTAGAAACTCGATGTTTCTACAAAGGTTGAAGATCTAAACCCTAAGAAAAATCAGAAGAAGAGGGAGATTTTGCAGAGAGAAGAGGGAAAAACAAGAGAACTCATAATGGGGATTGGACAGGGAGAAAGAAGGCAACACTATTTATGAAGAAACCAGAAAGACGCGGTCAAATATAGCCGTTACAGAAACTTGCGTGAAGAAGAAGCTAATAAATAACTAAAATAAAATAATTAAATTATTTAATTTTAATTTAGAAAAGAATGGAATGGGCCTAATTAATGTAAAAAAGGGCCAACGAAATTCCCCAAGTTAAAGGGCTTACAAAGCCCAATACAAGGTTTTAGTTCATTACCGGATTAAAACAGGCGATGTCGTTGTGAATTTAAATCTTGAAATTATAAAATAATCAAAACTCTAATTTTAAAGTTCATAATATGTGATTTTAATAATTATTGACATTAAAAGTGTTTTTCAACTTAAAAAAAGTTTTAAACGTTTTAAAACTTTTTTGAGATAAGATATAAAGTTTAAAAAAAAAATTAACTCAAATTCCATAAATCAATGGATATTATTTATTTATTATTATTATTATTTTTTTTGTAATTAGGAAGATATAGGGAAAATATATATATATATATAAAACAGTTAAACCTCATAAACACACAAGTTTTCCTAAAATTACGAGATAATTCAAAATTAAGGAATGTTTAAATCTGAAAAAAAAAAGATTTTTTTTTTTTTTCAAACCCCATTCGAATAATATTAATATTTAATCGAATTTAAAAATTTTAAACTTCAAACCACACATACTTTATATTTTGAAAACATTTAAAATAACAGGATAATCAAATCTCTACGCGTATTTGTTTAACATTAAAAATATATCTAAAACTTAGAAAATGGAAAAAAAAAAAAAAAAAAAAAAAAATCCAATCAAGCTTTTTCAAAGGAAAAGACCAGAAAAGCATTCTCAAAGGAAATCGCAATTTAAGATGGAAATGACAGTGAAGAGAAAATTATATCTGTCTATAGTACTTAGCCAAAGTGTAAACCAAATCCTTCTAAGGACTAAAACTATATATTATATATAAAAGGAAATAGAAACAACAAGCTACATCTCAAAGCCCTTCCATGGCCACATATACTATCACCAGAGACGTCTCTCGAGTTCGAAGATAGAACAAATCTGATTCTATTTCCTGTCGAACCAATCGGCAAAAAGAAGCGTAAGTTTGTAAGAAAGAAAGCCATGGTTGATGCCTTCATAAAAGGAGCAGTTTGTGAAAAGAACCAATGACTAAGTTACTAACCTTCTACTCTTGGCAGTAGGGGCAATTATTCCTCTTTTCTCTAAGCTCTTAAACCTGTCCTTAACAAGGGTGCAACAGCCCTATATTTATACAACAGAACCAACCATGATGTTCTTTCAGTTCACATCCAAATTTCCGACACAATAATTTCGATTGAGAGGAGTATTCAGGAAAGATGGATATGGAAATTAAATGAATGCACCTTCAGCTTACGGAGTGATCCAGTTATTTCCTCAGATAGGAGAACTTGAACTGGCGCGGGCTCGAACCTGGAAGTAACACCATGCAGTTAAGGACACAAACTTTCTTGATGTTATCTTGTTTCAGCACGAATCAGTTAATTTCAGAGGCCCATTTGATTACGTTCTTGTTTCATGTTTCATATTTTTAGAACCACAAGTGTTTGCTAATTGTTCCTGTTTCTTGTTACTCATTTTACAGAAACATTAGTAGAAATTTTGAAAAACAAAAAACAAGAAATGGTTACTAAACATTTTTATGTTCTTTTTTTTTCAATAAAGAAAAGCAAGAACAAGAGACAAGAACAGTTTAAGAGGAAGCAAGAAACATGAAGTGGAAAACGAGAAACAAAAAACAGAAGACGTTATCATACGAGCCCTAAATCTTTCAATTGAGATACTAGAAAGAACTATTTATGGATTGGGAAATACGAGCTATATCACTATAGTACTACATACTTGTGCTTCCCCAAGCGAGGTGGGCATGACTTTAATCTCTCCTGTTTGGCTATAGTTCGTCGCATGCGTCTCTTATCTCTCTCCTCGTCCTCCTTGGCTATTTCTTGAATGATATCTGGCAAGCTACACCCACAAGAGCAAAAGCTCAGTTACATAAAACGTTCCATAACTATTGAGGAACAAAGATACTAATTTACCTGTCAATGTCTTTAGAAATCCCCTTCAACTTCTTTGCTTCGGCTTCCTTTTTGGCCTGTTCTTTATGTCTAGCTCTCTTATTGAACTCAACTCGAGTCACCCTTCTCATCTTCAAAGGCCTGTGTAAAAAGTTTAATTTATTTAGACAATACCAACTTGAAGTTCTCTTTCTTAAGATATTCAGTTTAAGAGCAATTATTACTGACAACAGAAAAACATAGAAAGAATAGAAAGGAAAACTCTCAAACTAGTAGCTAGCTAAAGAATAGTGGAAAGAAAATGGCCAAGGCTCACATTGATCTCTACTCTACCCAATCCCAATGTCTCCAGTAACCTTTCTATTCCTTAAAATACTAGAATGTCAGTGAACAGAATTCTTGAAACATTTTAATCACTTCGTAAAATAACGCAAGTTAGAGAGATAAACGATCAAGGGCATACGATCGGAATGCATATGTAGGCAAGATCTGTTCAATACCAATCCCAATGAAGAACATAAGCCTTTAAGTTCAAATAGATCCACACAGTAAATCAATAGTGTACGCTCAAATATAGCGTGAACCACGCAAAGAAAGCCAAAAAATTGATCCAAACAACTTGAAAAAATCTGCAATCCTTAAAATAATTTAACTCCCATAAATGAAACCTTTTTTCTAATTCATTATTTTCGTCCTGATCCATTTCATCCAAATTGGTTTCATCATCAGTGTTATTATCAGCATCCAAAAACAACATCTGCAAAACAGGAATTGAAGATAATCTCTTAAATCAAGGAAAGCAACTAAAAAAGGAAAAATTAGATCTTACATAATAGAAAAAGCATTCCAATAGAGTACAAGATAATGGGTCAATATACTCACATCTTCTTCGCTAATAGCTTCTCCTGGGACTGTTAAAGGAACTGGCGCAGGCCCCAGCTCATTACGGTAAACTTTCTGCATTTCTTCTGCAACAGCTTGGGCAAGTACATCCTGAATCATGAAATGGGAAATTTA